TAGACATTAAAAATGATATTACAACTGACGATAAACCTGCTCCTATAAAGACAGAAATTAATAATTAATATGATATTGTAGATGATTACACGCAATTTAGGATATATATTTCGAAGATGCTCGAGGTAAAATTACAACTTTAAAGCGCTCAAATTTCCGCAATAAAGAATAAAAATAAGTAAATATCATTAATATAATAATTAATTAGTAATTAAAAATAAGTAATTATTATTAATATAGTTCGTAATATGCAAAACAATAGGTCAAAAACAAGGTCAACAACGAGAGCTAATTTAGGGTGTCGATTAAAATATAATTGTAAAAAATAATCTTTATTTACGAAAATGGTAATAATCCTGAACGTTTCGATTGCATCATAGTTCTTTATCAGAAAATCTTTATCTTTTATCTTCATTAAAATATTTGTAAAAAATAAATAGATATTAAATTAAATTATTATGACAGACGATAAGGCCGGTATTCATAGTTAATTCTTATATTTAAGACTATCTTAAGTATATAAGTCTTAAGATTAAGTAACAAGCTAATCGTAAGGTCGTACTAGTGTTTTAACACGTTACTTAAAAAGGTCTTAAGTATATCAGTAGTATTAAGATTAAGTCGTGAGCCAATCATAGAGCCGTATTAACATTTTAAAACATTATTTAAGACGGTCTTAAATATAAGAATCAACTACAAATGTCATCTGTCAATAATTAAAAATAAAGATACCTAAATTAGAACGTGATAAGAGACCAACATCGAGATTAAAAGTGCGCAAACACATGGCAGCACAAACATTATATGAAATAACCAATAAATTATGAAAGTCAAAAGATAAAAATAAAATGTGTATAAATGATTGTTTTTAATTCATGTTTTTAAAATTTAATAAATAAAAAAATATAGAGTAGTCAGCCAACGAAATAAAATATAAAAAATCTGTTCGTCGTTCGGCGACGAGAACGGGTTTAGTCCAGGTAATAAAATTGTATTTTATTAAAAGGAAAAAAAGAGACCAAGTCAATAATAAAAAGAGATCTATAAAGATAGAATGACGCTAAGAGGATAAAACAGCGATAATTTTAATCCTATTCACTCAATTGTTCTTTTCAAGTTAAGCACGTTTCCAGTCAACGTATTTTACGACGCTGTAAAAATGAGCGCGTGAGAAGTTTTTATCAAATAGTCGTTAGAGATTTAATCGGCAATCTGTCACATCGCGACTCTTATCCATTTACCTTTCAACAATGGACATACTTGACCCAGGGCTCCGATTGGGCCGCGACGAGTGAATTGTCCGATGCTGAGCTCCATGTACAGCAATGGTACTCCACATACCACGAGTATTAAAAAGTAAGGCACGAGGAACACGCCTGAAACGATGCGATCGAAATAAGTGAGGTTCCCCCAACATTAAGCATATACACGAAAAGAATGATTTTGCTGAAATATCTAAAAATTTAGCTAGACACAGATCTGAAAATAATTTTGTTGGTCTATCATATCTAAAAATAATTATATAGGAAACTCAAGCATAATGAACAATACTTTAATGAGCAAAAACTTTTGATGTTCTAACAACAAACTCGAGCATCTTACCTAATTATTTTTAGATCTGATAGATCAACAAAATTATTTTCAGATCTGTGTCTAGCTAAATTTTTAGATATTTCAGCAAAACCGTTCTTTTCGTGTATAACTGTAAAGAACAATGATGGTCTTCCTCCAAAAAAAAAAAAAAAGGATTAATCTAGTTAGTGGGAGATACAGGTCTCGCCCAGCGTTTCGCTAAACCAAGGTTCGCGCGTGTACGTAATAAGTGCCTCGACATTAATCATACTGTGGGTAGCGACAAGGTCACTGGATGTAACTCTTTATTCGCAATAAACGATGATCCGTAGCGGCGCTACGGATTACGACTTAATTTGACATCGAGCATTTAGCTGCCGCGAGAACGGGAGAGGTGACGATTAGTCAGCTGTTGGCAAGTTTCCTTCCACTGTTCAAACGCTGATACAGCTTTCCGAGCGCACGAATCGTATTGTCGCGCTTACAGATACTACTTATTATTATTATAATTTAAACTCATTTTGTGTTATACAGATTTTTTAATATTTAGAACATTTTGATCCATTTGTATAAGTGTACGACAGTCACGCATGTACGATAATTTCTTTTACACCTCGCGGAAAGATGTAAATTTATCCCAATCTCGACGGAACGCTATACAACACGTCGCGAGTATAAATCATACAGCGTTATCCGATCTGTTTTTCTCCGTCGCTTCAATCCGAGCCGAACAACGACACGAATGACAGTTTTCATTTAGTTCGCTGCAGACGATATAATATACGCGATCACACACTCCAAATAAATTATCGATATTAAACGAGAATGCCGGAGATAACAGTCGGAGCCGATTTAATGTGACATATCAATAATGATTACGAGCGATTTAATTTCTGGCGAAAATCCAATCGCGTCGTATTACAAGGCGGATAATGACGCACACTCGCATTAATATTGTTACAGTTATTTACTATAGTATCGTCTTTATCACGAAAATGCAATTTAGTATCGCAGTAACAATGAATATCGGAACGTACATCTCGCGTGCGCAAGTAGAACCGCATTATTTCCCCTGATTTTCCGGTCTTCCGTTTAATATGTGATTTTGCAAAATTATGCACTGTATTTTTACATCAGTACTATGTGCTATTTGTATAACGAATTAACTTGCCCATGCATAGGCTGTTGAAATTACAGAGTAGTTTCCAGCTCATTATAAGCATGGAAATATATTACACAAAAAGTTACAATTAAATAAAGATGTTCTGTAATATTCTACAAATGGAAATAACTTTTATAAGACGCTACACTTTTTATTAGCGATCTTTTAATTAATTAAATTAATTTAAAAATAATAATAATAAATAAATGACACTTAATTAATTTAAAAATAATCTTTGTCCCTCTCTCTTCTCACTTTTCTGGCGAATCTAATTATCCTACACGAAAAGAACTATTTTGCTGAAGTATTTAAAAATTTAGCCAAATACAGATCTGAAAATAATTTTGTTGGATTATCAAAATAATTATATAAGACGCTTAAATTAGTTGTTAGAATGTCAAAACTTTTCTGCAACGTTGCTCATCATATTTGAATTTCTTATATAATTGATATAAAATTGATATAAAATTCTTATAAAATTGATATAGTGAACAAAATTATTTCCGTTCTGTATATGTATCTAAATTTTTAGATATTTTAACAAAAAATTCTTTCCTTGTATATTCTTATTTATATTATAATAAACTACGTTCAAGATATAAGTCTTAACTGTGAAGACAGAATAAAAAGTTATAACACGATCAAATAAACGTCGAAATTATGTCTAGATATCAGAGTGTGCGGTGAAGATCACATGTATGACACACGATCGACGCGCTTGTCTGATAAAAGTGAGAGATCTCTAATCCATTTTGATCTCCTCAATCTTCGCGCAAATTTAGATCGACGTCTTCCGAGCGAAACAATAAATCATTTCAATCGTCTAAATCGGATCGCGTTATCCGAGCCGGTTTTCCGGCTCTTCAATTTAAACCGGTAGAGCATGTAGCACCGAGATGTGATACTCGGCCGATTATTTCCACACCGGTGTCATTGAAATCATTTACCGCGCCCGGCGGCGTAAGCCGTGTTCCAGCAAGGTCATGTATCAAGTTCCGCGAGCGAATTGCGCCACGCATCCGGGCTCCGGATGCTTCCAGACTTTGAAAATTACCGGCAACACGATACGCGGTCACGTTGCCGGGATTGCGAGAGAGCTCGCCGCGTTGCCCTGAATCCAAAGCTCGGCTTACGCAAGACGTCGCGATTTTCACATAGAAGCCGCCTCAATTTGTTCCTTTCGCGACGGGGTGTAATTTTTTCCTCGTACTGCAAGCGCGCGATTTTTATTTGATAATACTCTTTCTACATACACACACGCAAGAAGAGTATTATTGGCTATAATTCAATACGTGCAACAATTTATCGTTTACGATTCGCCACGTTTTCACATTGTGTTATTCCCGCGATAAAACGTAGGAAGAATAGAAAGAAATGCTTAACGAATGTTTTTAAAGGGAAACGAAAAGAAATTTCACGGCGTTTCGGAGTTGCTTAAATAAGCTGCTCCGAGCGTGTAAAAATTGGAGGATAATATCACGGATTCTGATTGCTCCGTCAGCTGTTTCGACACTGACGTATTTCGCAACGTGCAAAATAATCGCGTGCTCTTATCACGACAATGCTAATCGTGGCGAACACATAGCGATTGTGTGTCTGCTCATTTGACATCTGCTTTATTTTTTCGACCTTATAACTGCAGGCAACTGCGTGAACTCTTTTCTTTTCTTTTTTTTCCCCTCTTCTCTCTCTCTCTCTCTCTCGCTCTTTTGTATATCTTGTAAGACTTCTTTCACACTTCGTAAAACTGGATATTCTCGTCACGATTACGCGTAATTTACGTAATAGATTCATGCATTTATCGTGAGACTCACCGCCACCACTTTTGTAGCACAAGTAAGGAAATCTCCAGACGTTACCGAGACCGACGGAGTAGCCTATACAGGCGAGAACAAATTCCATTTTATTCGCCCAGTGAAGCCTCCTAGGCTGCCGATAATCGCCGGAATCGTACGCGTCCAAATCGTCATAGCTGGTGCACGTAGAAACGTCATCCTCGAAACTGCAAAAATGCAACGCACGACGTCAAGCTTTTATATTACAAATGTAGCCGGTGCTCGAACGAAAGACATCTACAGCGTGGAATGCGAAAGAAAAATTGAGAGAGCACCGAGAAAAATGTTACGAGTTATGACAGTTTAATGGAAAAACAGCAATAAGCGTTTTATTAAATATTTCGTCAGGTGAATAATATAATTTAATCTTCGTATCGTGAAGTGGAAGGATATCACTTGCGGGCAGTACGTCTCTATATAAATTCCCTCAAAACAATAGATCAGCAAAGGATCATTACTATCGTGACGACTCTTTCAAGTGCTTAACGATTTCGCGCTTCGTATTATGCACCTACGGAAACTGTATTACAATGCCTAATGCATTGTAAAAATTTATTTGACGGAAAATCACACAAAGGCGCATCACGTGTCAGCCGTGCTTTACGGGTGCATTTGCATGACGCGCGTTCACATAAAGTCCAATGGCGACCATTAAATATTCATCGTCATTGTTTATACAGTGGTCGATTTCGAGCGTCATAACGTGACGTACCGATTAGCGACGGTAACAGTCCATGTATTACGCGAAATATCATAGGATCGTCAATTATACCTTCGCCGATTCCGCTCGCGTTTGCGTTCACGGGCGACGGGTGCACGCAAACGAACGAGAGCCAATACCGGAAAGAATCCAGTCGGTGTTACCGTGATAAAAGCGTCGCGTGAAATAGTATGGAACATAAAAACCGACTTTTGCGCGGTGCATTATGTAAGCGTCGGGATCGAGGAATTTTTATGCGTTTATCGCGTAAATTCGTATACTTTACGGTGCGGTGAGCGTAGAAATGGTGTCAAGCCATGGGCGGCGGAGGGGCCAGGAAAGGGCGGTCGACAATGCTGAAAGATATACGCGACGCACCTGTGTACATTCCCGTTCGTTTCGCAACGGAAAACTAATATACCACGCCGCGGAAGCATCGCGGATACGATAATGCGCCTCGTATACGGCATGTCAGTAACTTTTTTTTTTTTAAAGAAGATATACGTATATGTCATCGTAAATGTGACGGTAACGAAGACGAGTGTCAGATGGCACCGATCGACAGAATTTTCGCATCGGAGAAGACAAGGACTAATTTGAGATGAATTATTGCATATTACGATTCGAAAGGTGATGCTAATAGATGTAATCGTATCGCATATTATTTGAGGACTTTGAGAAAAGTATTTCCGATTTCCCCTCTTTATTTCATATGCTGTAAAAAAATTTCATGTAACAACGATTATAGTGAATAATTTGGGACTTAAAGGTATATTTATATACATTCGAAGAAAATGCAACTTACAAATAAAAATATTTTTTCTAGTAAGTAAATATTTGCAAAAATAAATTAACAATTGATGAAAAGTAAATTTACAAATGATGTTAAGGCTCTTGACTATTTGCCGCGATCATATTGGACGTCGTTAAGCAATTTAAAAAATGAAATTTCTTGCATGCCATTTGTAAATAAAGAAAATTTAGGCGAAATAAAATAATGAGATCGCTTTAAAATACTTATAAAAATAGGCCAAAGCTCTCTCTATTCTTACCCCTCCCCTCTCTCGACAGTCAGTAAATAATCATAAAAAGCACGTGAAATAAAAATAGGCTTAACTTCACTTCATATGTCTTTATACTTTACATGCCTTTTACGACTATTTGCTGACTATCAAGGAAGAGTGGAGTAAGGATAGCTTTGAACTCATTTTTAAAAATATTTTAAAGCGATCTCAAATTTAGCTAAATACAGATCCGAAAATAATTTTGTTAAACTCTTGAAATAAATTAGATATTCAAGCTGATTTTTATAATAACCATAAATTTTCTGTTGTACTTTCACTTTGTTTGAGCGTTCTATATTATTTTGATAGTTTAAGAAAATTATTTTCAATCCTGTAACTCTAATTAAATTTTAAATATTTCATCAAAATCATTCTCTCTGTGCAGAGCACTCCGTTCTTTATTCGTGTTAACGATCTCATGAAGACGGGTATCGTTTTCACACACGGGAGACCTGTGTGCGCGCCGCTTCAAAAACGAGATGTGACAAGATCTAAATGTAGGACGACGATTACGGGTCGTTTCAAGCGCTGTCCCGTTTCAATGGAAGAAGCGGGACAGAATCGCAACAATATGTCACACCGCACAAGCACACCTACTTACAACAACCGGTGGGGTCTTACATTGTACACCTATTATCCACTTACGTCTTCGGGACGATACGCCGGAATTGCAGACCCTGGATGACGAGATCTGACGGCTTCGCGTCGAGCTTAGACGCGTAGCGCATCTCTCGTCACGTACGTAGAATCCGCCGCAGCCCGATGATAGACGAGGCCCTAATCAGAGCAATCGAAACCGGTCTAACTAGACCGGTCTAATTAATAGGTGAATTCAATTTTCGGTGACGGTAGATTCGTGTCTCGTGAGCGGAGACCGTTTTCGTACATATATAGCACATCGACGTTTGAACTCACCGAAATTATATCGGAAATTATACCGGTTTCGATCTCCCGACTCTAATTTACGGACACGAGGTGAATCTGATGCAGCAGCTTCCGCGCTTTAGAACAGGTAGCGACAAACGTTGATTAGAACTATCCGTGGCAAATTGAGAGCCAATTTCATCGACGCTGTCGATTAACTAACTTGACCCTTGCTCCTTTCCGGATCATAGTCCTGATTGCAATGCAGGTATGCAGTGTGAAAATTCTATCAACAGCAATTAATATTAGTTGATAGCGCGATCGATTCTAAACTGCATTTAAGGTGATCTGTATGGAAAATTGAATAGGTGTTCTAGAGTCAATTTTAGTAGCGAAAGCTTAAAAAAAGGATAAACGTAATTTCAATCTATTATTATTTATTTATTATATTTATTATTATTATATAATCTATTATATTACATAATTATTTCCATCTAACATATTTTAATCCTTCTACATTAAAATTTAATTTACTTATTTTCTACCTCACATTTTCTGTTCTTTAGATTTAAAAACTATAATCTAGAAAGGAACGGTAAATTTAGTTAACCTTTAATAATTGATGTAACTAACCTTGATTAGTGTAAAGAAATCGTGCTGCATCAACAAAGCGACAAAGCGAGGTGGCAAATTTGCAACTTGCGGTACAATTCACACGCATTAGGCAAGCAACTCCGGAACGTTTTCTTTATTGTTTGGAGATAATCGTCAAGATAGTTCTCGAACAATGTGCTCTCGAACTGCTTCGCGGAGCTCTCCGACTGAAGGTTATATCAGGCTACAGCTTCATTTTTATATGTCATGTAAAACGGTTCAGTTTATTTAGGATATTTACGCAAGATATTAGATCCTATGTGAGAAGCATATGGGCGACAGAGCTTTTATCACACAATTTAATCATGCTGCTAATTCACGATTATGATGTATTTTAGAATTGAAGATAAGGAACACGTCATACAAAGAAATAATCTAATTTAACGCGACGGGAAAATAATTTAAAATTCGACGATCGTCGATTGCCTCGATTGTGTTTGCCAATTTTTTAGATAAAATTGTCTCGATCATTTAGTGGAATTTAGGTGTTATCTCAAGTGAGAGCTATTATTTTTCTTAAAATAAATCTTGTCTCTGATAATTGTCACCCAATATATTATTTTCGTCACGTATGTCCTCATCAGACGCTGTGTAAATACGAAATTTTTGATTTTATACTTATATTATCACAAAACGGATGCTCTAATAACTATACTTAGGATGCGTTCCGAGTTACGCATGAAGCGCATGATGCATTAGTTGTCCTTGTTGTTCACCAAATAATAAAGAAGGATAAAACGATACATCACGCGCTTCATGCGCAACTCGGAACGCACCCATAGAAAGAACGATTTTGTTAAAATACCTAAAAATTTAGTTAAATCTGTGAAAATAATTTACAGTTTTGAAAATAATTTTATTGGATCATTCAAGTAATTATATAGAACGTTTAAATTGATGACAATGCTACAGAAAGTTTTAATATTCTAGTAACATGTTTAAACCTACACAATTATTTTAATGGTCCAAACAAAATTATTAAATCTGTATATACGTGACAAGAACAGTTTCACTAAAATATTTGAAAATTTAGCTATATAGATGCAGATTTGAAAATAATTTTATTGGACTATCAAAATAATTATGTAGGCTCTCAAACTGCTAAAATATCAAAATTTTTTGCAGCATTGATCATCATGCTCGAGATTTCTACGTAGTTATTTTGAACAAAATTATTTTCCGATCTGTATGTAGTTAAATTTTTACGTACTTTAGCAAAACCGTTTTTTCCATGTAGCATCATAATTATCTCTTTGAAGACTAATGCCTTTTTAAGGAAAAACGTTCCTCAAAGAAATAAAAGAAGAAATTCAGTGAGATTAATTGCGGTGAGATTAATCGCGTACTTCAGAAATAGCGACACAAGAATTGATTTCTATCTCTTCTGTTCGCGCCATCGAACTTCTGCATCTCGTTTTAAGAGATAAAACACGAACGTAACCTGATCGTTTTTTTTTTTTGTACAGACTTCGCTATTCGCTTTTGCACGAAAGCGTACTCACGTTCAAACGGGCACGCGTGCGCGCTATCACGTGGAACGTGATTCACGCGGCAGTTTCTTCGAAAGTACCGAGGCACAATCGTAGGCAATGTGTCTCACTTACGGTGGCGGATGTACCACGTTAAGCAGCTCCGACGGCGAAGTGGGAACTCTACGTATCGTGAGCTTCCGGCCGTCAGAAGAGCCCAAGCCGATCGACGCCAGAGATCTGATCGAGATCGTGTCGGGGAATGAGCGAGCCTGACTTCCGTTGTTCTCCGTGTACAGAGAGGCCCAGGTAGGTGATAATTGATGGCAGCAGGGACAGTACTGATGGTTCTCATCCATGCTGAAGGTTCTCGGCGAACGCACGTTGGCACAATAATGACGATAGTGCCGTGGATCAATGCTTCTGACGCTCGATCTGCCAGGGCTATGTAATCCGTTATCGCGATCCGAACTCGATCCGGAGTCAGCCTGATCAAACACCAGCCGTGGCTGCGGCCGCCGACGATGGCCTTTATCTCGAGGAATACTTTCGGGACTGTCGTCACGGCTGACCACCCTTTTGACATTGTTACCACTGGTGCTCGGCACAACAAGGATCTCATGTTTGGCGGTGTTCAGCAAATGACCTCTCTCCTCTTCTGAGGACCACTCAGCTTCGATCTCAGGGCGTTTTTGATGTTGACGGCGGATTCTGATCACGTCTGGATCCGCGTCGTCGGACACGTCGTCCTCTTCTTCGAGCATCGTGCTCATTTTACGCACGCAGCCGGCCTGTTTGCCGAGGAATTTACCGTGGGTAGCATCCCCGTGCTTCAGCAGGACGGACTTG